TCTACCACACCTCCCAGTTTGGTGTCATCAGCAAACTTGCTGAGGGTACATTCTAACTCTTCATCCAGGTCGTTGATGAAGAAGTTAAACAAGGCTGGGCCCAGTACTGACCCCTGGGGGACACCACTTGTTACCAGCCTCCAACTAGACTCAGCGCTGCTGATGACAACGCTCTGAGTTCTGCCATTCAGCCAGTTCTCTATCCACTTCACCGACTACTCCAACTGAAAACTCTACAACTTCCCAAAAAAATACTAACTGAAGTTAGGAGAAACTGTGAAATTTCCAGCTGATCAACTCACTTCTCTGGCTTATGTACCACTAGGTTTGGCAGTGAAGCATAACGTCAGCAAAGTGTTTAACATAATCTTTGCTTAAGGTGGATCAATTCAGAAATTTCTTATATATTCCCAAAAAGACCATGTCACTGACAGTTAAAACTGAAAGATGAACTCAACTTTTTTAAGCATTATTTGCCCATCTTCATTCACTCCCAGCTCTCCTGATCAATTAAGTACCCCTCATTCACCAGGCAGAACAGATTCCTTTTCAAGATCCAGCTTGGGACAGGTGAAATATCAAAATAATGCTCAGCTACGTCATGAGTTACAAATGATGAGCGGTTTCTTCTGGGACCATATTGAGAGCTGTATCGTTGGAAATACACAGAATGAAATGTTTGAGCGTGTTAAGAACTTAGTGGTGGGTTAACCCCAGGCTAAGCACCTCACAGCCCCTTGCTCACTCACCCCCCTCACTGGTGAGAGACACAGGAGAGAACAGGAAAAGCAAGGAAACACATGGGTCCAAATAAAGACAGTTTCCTAAGTAAACAAGAGAGGAAAAAAACACCAAATGGTGTTTTTCACCCCTTGCCACCTCCCACAAGCAGATCGATGCCCAGCCAATCTCCAAGCAATAGCTACCATCCAGACCACCACATCACCAGCTCCCGCAGTTTTTTATTGCTGAGCATGCTGTTATCTGGCATAGAACATCCCTGCAGTCAGTTTGGGTCATCTGTCCCAGCCATGTCCCCTCCCAACTTCTTGCCCACCCCAGCCTATTCATTAGGGGGTCCAGAATGGGGAAAAGAGAAAGCCTTGACACTGTGTAAGTACTGCTCAGCAACAGCCAAAATACCACTATGTTATCAACAGTTTTAGTCACAAATCCAAAACGCAGCCCCATAATAGGCTGCATGAAGAAAATTAACTGTAACCCATCCAGACCCAGGATAAATGGAAAATAAATCCATGCTGGTGATAAAAGGGAAAGATCTGCTGTCTCTTTTTCCCCTTCTTTCCTGCTAGCATTAGGTCTTCCGAAGGTGGACAGGAAGCCATCTTAGGGAACTGATCTGATTTTAATCCACAAATTACCTTAAGAATTTATTTTATAAAGTTATAGAAATTAGAATTAAATAAAGATGTAGGCCATAAAGACTAATGCCTGGCCAGAACGAACAAGAGGTAGTCTGGAAAAGGAGGCAGCTGTTGGCAGCGAAGAGTGACTCCTACATCCTCTCTTCGACAGACCGGGTTATAGCATCCTAAACTCCAAACTCAGGTCAGGGGTTGCTATTTAAATAGCACTATCTTAGACCAGGCTAAAGAATTAGAAAAACATATGTAAAAATGTGAGGTCATTCTTAGAGGAAGGAACTAGCTAGCAAACAAAATTAATTTTCACTCACTCTAAAATTAGACTGCTACTAAGTAATCGTATGAAACCACCAAAAACCTTCCATTGATGTTTGACCAATGACAAAAGTAAAATCAATCCATAGCATACTAGGTAACAGCAACATTTCCCTTTCCATTTACTGTCAGTATCCTTTGGCTGGTTTGTTCATAGAAGAAGATTCCTCTGTATATTTCTAAACTCACAAAAACAATGCCATTATACTAAAGCCAGTACTCCTTCATCAAATTCCATACATTAATTTTATGCACTGACCACAAATCAAATAATATACACTTTTTATAAGGTAATCTTCCTGAACGTAACTTTACAGGTTACAGTGCGACTATGTTTTTAGAATGTTACAAATTTGCTCAAATAAATAGCTGGAACAATCTAAATCCAGAACAAAAGAAGGAATCAACGACATGCCGTTATTCTACCATGTGGTCAACATGATCAGAATCCATACACAGACACCAAAAAACACCAATTAATTGCAGTATAATACAATGGACAAGTAAAATAGATAGAAACATATAACTGAATAAATATGACATAGCCTAACTTCTTTCTTCTCATGTAGCTTAAGTTTGAAGTATGTCACCTAAAACACACAAAAGGAGACCAAGTCATTCTCTTATATCAAGGTAATGGAAAATTATGACAGTAAAAGCACCACTGAATTCAGAATTGGTAAAAAACTTCAGAATTATCTGCTTCTGTGACTAGTATAGCATTAACTGCTTTTTTAGCATAACTTAACTTGCTCAGTTTTAAGAAAGAAGTTCTAAAACGCAAATACTTTGGCATAAATATCTTGGTGTCTAAAATAATATGAAGACTAAATGTGAATACATATGTAATACTGAC